GTTGAACCCTTCGGGGTCATCATTGCAACTTCGACTTAAAAAAAAAGAAAAAAATGTAGCTTCAACTTGTAGTCCCCGTGAACTTCAAGTTGTACATCATTGCAGCTTCGACTAGTAGTCCGCGTGAACTTCTACTTCAGTTTAAAATGTATAGTTCCCCATTCGAGGTTGGATACTTTCTCGGAATTAGTAGCATGGATGTGCCCTGAAAGGATTCCTTTTCTTTACCTTTTTCACGTCACTGCCCTCATTGTCCGTGCATGTGGAAACATATGCACGACATAAACCAACATGGCATATTGCCCCTTTTCCTTGGGCCCACTGGCTTCAACCCCGGTTGCACTACTGAGGCCAGTACCGAGCCCCACTTGGCTCCCATGTTAACCGGTGTGTATTTTATTTTCAAGCGGGGAAAGGTACTGGTGGTTTGAACACCCACATACCTTTCTGATGCACCTTCGTCTATTCTCCTCATTCCTAGATCCACGACAATGTTATACTGTTCCGACTTGAAGTAACTGGTTTTATTCCTGTTGATCGCTGCCTCAGAGGGTCATGAGTACTCGCTTAGACGCAGAGAAAGATAGTTGAGTGTTTTCCGAAATAGCCAGTAAGTTATACGCCAAGACCTTCACTTTGCTTTTTATTTTTTTAATTTTTTTTATTTTTTTTTATTACCATTTATCGATTTATGCATGTCATCCTTGCGCAGGGGCCATACTAATCTTCTATGTATCGTTCCAATTTTAACGGATGTGCTGAAGGTCTTCACTTTGCATGCCTTTTGTTGAACCTATAACCCTGACCTTCCTTTTGCATGAGAATGTATTTTTTGTTTTTCTTGTTGGCTTTTTTTGAAGATGTACTTGGATAAGGTGTAGGTTTGGTATAGGTTGGAAGGATCATGAGGCGTTTTAAGGATCCAAACGGGTTTTTACTTTTGTTTTTTTTTCATATGACTCATAGGTACGAGACGATGACTGACTATCTTTTGACCGCTTAGTTAGTAATACGGAGACTTATATAAAGTTTTACATGTTTCTAATAACGTAAGACTCCTGATGATCCTAACACGGTGGTCGCGTGAAACTGGTAGGATTGTCGCGGTGCAACTGCTTTGGACACTTCATGCATTCTTTTGATTAAGCAGCAGTCACGTTCGGGTTCTGTGTAATTGTCTGGTCACTACAGAGGTCGTGTTCGAGTCTCTATGCTGAGAATTGCTTGATGTGTTATCTATTGATGCTTATTATTCTCGAACTTCCTTTCACAAACTAACCAGCGTAGAGGTTGCACTATGGTTGAGTGGCTTCGAACGTTTCGAAAGATGGTTAGCAATCAAAGCATGTCTCTGCCTAGGAATTCATGGTGCTACAACTGTGGACATATAGGTCATATCGTGAAATTTTGCTACTTACCAGATAAAAGATTAAAAAGTTAGAATGTGTCTACTAGCACCGCGATAGTTCCAGTGCACAATTCTTCCTACGGTAACACCACAATTAATCTTGCACCACCGACATATCCTTATTACAACGGGGGGTATTCTGGGGGTAGCGGATTAGGCAAGAGAGTTTCGCACTTGGAAAAGTTGGTGGTCAAGATTAAGGGTAAACACGAGGCAGATGAAGCTAAATAAAGAATGACACGCGAAGAGGAAGAGAAAAAGAAGAAAGAAAAGGAAGAAGAAGAGCGAAGGCTGAGAGATAAACGAGATCGGGAGGAGATGTAGTCACTATTTGCGAAGGAATTAAACTCGAAGTTGGATATGATCAGCAATGCGGTGGGTGGAAGAAAGGAGAAGGATGAAAGTGAAGTGGGAAGATTAAGAAAAAAACTTGAAAGACTGAAGAAAGGACATCAAAGTCGTATAGCATCGACGTCAACAACGGAAAACACTACGGTGACGAAACTATAGTAGGTATTCATAGAGTTGAAAGAGGCATCGGACAAAAAATTTCGATATCTTGAAGAAGAAATCACTAAAGAGAAGTGACTTCGTGAAGAGGTGGTGGCAGATACTGAAGCGTGGAAAATGGAGGCGCTACGACCTGGTAACAAACGGGGGAGCTTGGCCGTCGGACTGACTCCGACAAGCCAAGCCAAAGTTCGATCGAAAATGGTTCAGACGTCTATACCTGATGCGACAAGGAGGAAGGTTGACAAACAATACAGAAGTGCGGTTAAGTGACATGGCATGGAGGTCGACGTTTTCCAAGAAATGAGATTGAAAAAAGTTAGAGCATGACGTGAGGCCAAACTGGAGTTGGCGAATGCCAGGGAAAAACAGCAGGAAGATGAGTGGGAGATCGAAAGGTTGTGAATAAGGATGAAGGAGTTAGAGAAGGAAAAACGTTGTCGGGGTCCGGTGACTAACTTGAAGCCAAGATTGGACGAAGCAGCGGGAGGTTCTGCAAAAAAAAACGATAGGGCAAAGTAAATTACTAGTCCGGGAGGTCGATTTGAAGATAAAGAATATTTTTTTAGAAGGCTATAAAAGATTTGAAGAACATGAAGAAGGAAGAGATCATGGTCATTTGGGAGAAAAAGGGAGTTAAGTACGAGAGGTTGAACATCACTAAAGAGGAGATCGCTAGACTGTGCATGGAGCGGGAATTCGGCCGTGTCGAAGCAACGACTCCTATACAAGTTAGCAACAAAAGATGGCCGTTATCGAGTCGTTTCTTCATCGGGTCAAGATGTATGGGTCATCGCAGGGGCTGAATTACCTTTCCCATTGGCTTTGAAAAGTGAACTATGGAGGAGGGGCTATCTAGATGAGCTATTCGATGTAAGGAAGTTTGGGGGCATATAGGAAAATTGGTTATCGGTACTTACGAAGTAGGGATGTTTGGAAGAAGAGGATAGGCTGGGGGGTCCGAGGCGAAGAACGTGGGATTGGGCTGCGTCTCGTCGGTAGTTTCGGGAACCGGGTAGCGAGTGCTGCTCCCGGAACCTGCCTAAGTTGGCAGTACTTTGACAGGTGATGGGTGGAGAAGTGACAACACGTGGTGAGTGATGTGTGTATGTCTTTCTTTTTAAAGTTTCCTTTTTCCATTGGTTCATTTTATTTTTTCTTTCGGAAGGTGTACTTGGATGAGAGGCAGGCTTGGTACAGGTCAGAAGGTCCAAGTAGGTATGGTAGGTTCGAGAATGTGGTTTTCTTTTTCGGAAGGAGTACTTGGATGAGTTGCAGGCCCGGTGCTGGGCCTAACATTTAACTTTTTTCTTTTCGGAAGGTGTATCTAGAAGAGTAACAGGCTTGGTATAGGCTGAAGGTTCAAGTGGTGATCTAAGCTCCGAGAACCTGTTTCTTGTTTTCTTGTTGGCTTTTTTCGAAGATGTACTTGGATGAGGTGTAGGTTTGGTACAGGTTGGAAGGATCATGAGGCGTTTTTACTTTTGCTTTTTTCTTCGTAAGACTCACAGGTACCTGACGGTGACTGACTGTTTTTTGACCGCTTAGTGAGTAATACGGAGACTTATATATAGCTTTACATGTTCCTAATAACGTAAGACTCCTGATGATCCTGAAGTGGCGGTCAGGTGAAACCGGTAGGGTCGTCGCCGCACAGCAGCAGTCACGTTCGGGTTCTGTGTAAAGCTATGTCTCTACTGTCTGGTCACTACAGAGGTCGTGTCCTAGTCTCTATGCTGAGTATTGCTTGATGTGCTATCTGTTGATATGTATTATTCTCAAACAAACAAACTTCACTGTGCATGCTTTTTGCTGAACCTGCAGCCTTGTAATCTGAGGATGTGCCTTAATATTATTTATTACAAGCACATCTAGTCTAGCTGGAAAACAAAAATCAGCGGCTCTAATGGGCACCCTTGCCTTAGTATGCCCTTAGTCTGGCCATCCCTTGCCCAAATTCGCCATTTTGCCCGTCCATTACGAAGATCAAGAGCTAGAGAGGGGGTCTTCCCCCCCGGCTCTGCTGCCTGGGTCAGTCAGAAGCAGAGGCACACGGGTCACTTCCAGTAATTTGCCTGGTAACTGAACTAGAGGGGCTTACAGAGAGTCCCATTCGAGGACATCGCAGGGGTCCTGAGAGAGAGTGCGTCCCAAGGCAGGAGAATCCTCTTTTTCTCGGTAGTATTGCGGGCATGCTCCGGTCCCGGTCATTTCCCGGGTCACATCCCGGTCCTGTCCTTTTTGCATGTGTCCCAGGTATGTCCCGCTCGCAGACTCAATCGACCGGGCAAGTACGTCGAAGCGAATTCCCCTTTCCCCTCCCCCTCCCCGTTTTGTTTGGGCTTCTCCATCCTCGCGCCTTCGTGCGGGCTTCGCTCTGCGGCAGCCAGTCATTACCACCCACTTTCGTGGAGGTCTATTCTGGTCGTGGAGGATCAACGGGGTGCAGGTCAACTACCCCGGGCCTAGGTCCCACCTGCACGAATTTTGAGATACTGACCGTAGATAGCAAAGATGAACGGCCGAAATCTCCTAATCGGCGCACGTGGGACCTTGGCCCCAGGCGAGATCTCTCATGTGGTGATGACCGGTCTTTTTTTGGACGTGAGCCAGTTGGCGGTCATGTGGACCGATGATCAGCCAGGACTCTGCCACGTGGTGGCCGTGTATGATGCTCGGATCGTGGAGGGTAGGTGCATCTCCGAGGTTTCTAAGGAGTGTGGGTGACTGAGGGCCTCGCCACACCACTCGCGAAATGTGAAAAGGACAAACATCTGGCGGGTGCATCTGGTCATCTTCGACCCGGAAGTTCATTCTCATTTTGCACATTTCGAGAGTGGTGTGGCGATGCCCCGAAGGAGGCTCGACCGTGCGTCTTCCTTCGGGAGCCGGTTTTCGTGGCGGGACTTCCCTGAAAAAGACAATTTTCCCGCCTTTTTTGTACGAGAACCTTCGTAGAGACAGGACTGTTCCTGCGCTCTCTGGAAGTGGCGGGACTTTCCCTCAATTTTCCCGCCTTTTCTGTACGAGAACTTTCGTAGAGATAGGAGCGTTCCGGCGCTCTCTAGAGCAGTGCCTGTAGCCGGACGGCGCAATTGCTGCCACGTGCACACACACAGAGAGAGAGAGAGCGAGAGAGAGAGAGAGAGAGAGAGAGAGAGAGAGAGAGAGGGGGCTGGTCGGTAATCACAGCGTGGGAGAGAATGATGTATGACCGCTGGTCGGTAATCACAGAGTGGGAGAGAATGATGTATGACCGGGTGGGCTGGGGCCCACTTGCACGAGTGAGGAGATACTGACCGTAGATAGCAAAGATCAACGCCCGAAATCGCCTAATCGGCGCAAGTGGGACCTTGCCTCGGGTGGGCTGGGTGATGGTAACGGAGAGAGGTGGTGAGAGCTATGGTGTGAGCAGAACATGATGGGGAGGAGGGAGGAGGAGAGGTGAAGAATGCAGAGGAGAAGACGTGAGTTAAGGTGGCAAGTGAGGCTGGTTGAGCGAAGTGGGAAATGGCGGGAGATCAAGGACTAAGCGCTGTTAAGACTGTCTCGAAATGGCGGGAAATTGTGGCCGAAGGGCAGTTAAGAGCGTCGCATAAGGATGTCGTGGCACGACGATGATTGGTTTGGTGTGCCACATTTCTGGGGCAAAATTACCATCCTACCGAGTGACGTCAACATTAATCAAGGAGAGCAATTGGCCACGTGTCGCTCTGCTAGAGTGCTCTCGTGTAGATAAAGAAGAGAAACGGGAATCGCATTCTCATTCTCGTGTTCATTCTCGTGCACAGCCACCCGAGGGAGAGGGGGAGAGGGGGAGAGGGAGAGGGGAGGGGAG